GTTATTTTAACCATGTGGGGAATCCGCCGGTTTGGTCAAGGACCGTTTCCCCAGAACTTAGTTTTCCTTCCCCTAAAGAACCTGGCTTTGTAGCAAACCATTTTCCCATAATTCTGCAATTTCACTTATTTTCTGAAAAGAAAATTCTTTTCCACCGATTTAACCCAAAATGATCCTTTTTTTCCCTCAAAACCACCGGGAAGGCCTACCAACGTTACCAAAATTTAGATCCATGCTTCACAACCTTATAGCTAACTGAACCACCTGAATTAATCCTTTTTACCTTCCATTGTTCAGTTCAGTTTATATTGACCATTGAAACTTTTTTTTTCTTCAAATACTTTTTCGATATTTCACCTGTTTCTACGAATATTTCTGAGTAAAATTTCAGATTTCTTTATATGGTTTCTTTCATCATTTATCATATTAAAGCCTAAAACAGTGCTTGTTATAGAAGATATATAATAATGAAAAATTTGATAGATCGAACTTCTAAAAAGATGTTTAAATTAAGAGTGAGATATATCTATTAGTTGAGACTAGGTCAGGTTTGAAACCAGCATTTGAGGTTCCTTTGTATTTGTATTGTGAAGATCAGTTGGGTGTGTGTCTTCTTTTGGTTTATTTTTTTTGTTTGAACTGTTTGATACAAGAGCTATATATAATCTAACGTTTTGTATTATAAATAGACTAGTAAAGAATCTACAATCGAAGATCTCTTGCGGAAAATAGAGGTTATATCATTGTCATTGCAAGTATAGATAAGCAAAAATGAGTTTGGTTACTCCTAAACATGTTCTTTGGTTTATTCCAAATCAAATTGGATATATGAGAGTTATTACTGCAATTATTTCTTTTGTCACCATGCCAAGTTATCCTAAATTGACTACTTTGATCTATGGTACATCATGCTTATTAGATGCCTTAGATGGTACAATGGCACGTAAGTATAACCAAGTTAGTAAGTTCGGTGCAGTGCTAGATATGGTTACCGATAGATCTACTACTTCCAGTTTGATTTGTTATTTATGTATTGCTTATCCTTCATTATCTGTTATCTTTCAGTTATTGCTATCATTAGATCTATCGAGTCATTATATGCACATGTACGCAACTCTAAGTGATGGTGCATCATCCCATAAAAATATCGGCAAAGAATCTTCAAAATTATTACATTTTTACTATACAAGAAGAGACGTTTTGTTTATGATCTGTGCCTTCAATGAACTTTTATACATGGGTCTTTATTTGTTTGGATTTCAATCAACTAAAACTTTCGGTACCATACTAATTGTAACTTGTTTGCCAGGTTTCATTTTTAAGCAAATTGCTAACGTCATTCAACTGAATAGAGCTGCAATGATTTTAGCCACAATCGATGCCAGTGACGCAAATGAAAGGCAAAATAAGGATAAAACAGAAACAAAACCAAAAAAATAATCAACAGTAAAATATATTATTGGTATTTCACCTATTAAATCCGAAAAGTCTCTGTAAATGATGCATTTATTACTATTATTATCATTACCTGTTTTTTTTTTCCGTTGTTAATTAAAGGTGTCATCATCATTTAAACCAAATGATGTAATCACAAATTATATAATATACACAAATATATATGTTTAGACATAAATTAGCAAATTATCCTGACTATGTAATGCCAAATAGATGTTATAGATTTGTAATACTAACATTAGAAACCCTTCTGTCATTGGACCCTTGATTGTCACCAACAATTTTCTTTTTTCAATGATCTATCTCATTCGTTCGTATAGGAGCAAACGAAATTTGATGTCAACAAGATTGAAAAAAAATTGAAGATTATGATTATGATTTGAACAGATGGTTAAATTAAGAGTCTTAGATCTTGGTTTGCATAGATTCTTGTAGTTTTCAGTTTAGGTTGGGCTGAAACATATATGTGTGTCAGTGAGAGTATCTGAAAATATCGTTGCTCAATAAGAGGGTTGATTCTGTAGTTGTACACTTGGTATCGCTATATTTATTTTTTTATTGGAAGATCAAAGGAGGATACATAAATCAGTTATTGCAATTGTACAACAATGTTGGATTACATTACTAACGCTTTGGTCACTTGGCCTGCCCCAGGATTTTTCGAATCTAAGCTACTACCGTTCTTGCATGAAAAGAACATTATCAGATCAGAATCTATTGCTGAAAACTTACATTCTGTAGTTTACGTTGCATTTTTCTATCATGCTTGGTTTCTATTTGGTAAATATGTAATGTTTCCTCCATTTGCTGGCCATGTTACTGATAAGAGGAAAAGAAGAAATTTGATTAATCAAAGTGCAGTTCATTTGGTTTCATTCGTCCAAGCAATTGTAATTTTATATTTATCTATAAGATTAATGTTAGATGAAGAAAATTATATCTCTGTTTATCAAGATTCTGTTTCTCGTGTATTTACAGAAACTAGAGGTACCCAGATTATTTGTATTTATGCCATAGGTTACTTCACTTGGGATATCTATATATCTACTTTTTACTCAACTTTACCATTCGTATTGCATGGTGTCATATCTACTGTCGTTTACACAATTGGTTTAAAACCTTACATCCAATACTATGCTCCTGTTTTCTTGATTTTTGAGTTATCAAATCCAGGTTTAAACATCAGATGGTTCTTAATGAAATACGCCCCAAGTTATAAGAAATTTTTAACTATTAACAATTTCTTCTTAATGATCACTTTTTTCTTATGTAGAATTGTTTGGGGTTGGTATCAAATTATCAAGCTATGTTGGGATTACTACCAGATTTATGATATGGAAGGGTTTAAACCATTCGACACATTTATTATTGTCTTTGGTAATTTTATTTTGGACATATTAAACTTAGTCTGGTTTTCCAAGATGGTCAGTGTCGCTATAGCTGTCTTAAGAAAACCTAAAAAGGAATGAAAAGAATATAGTTGGTATATGATCAGGAATCTATAACTAAAAAAAAAGCCTACAAAATAACAGCAAGTTAAATTTCAATTTAACAGGTGTTATCGTTTAATATACATGTAACCTCTAAAACATTATAGTTTCTTCTTCAAGTAACAAATTATTATTGTTATACTACTTGGTGTCGTTAAAAGAAATTGTAGTGAGGTGAGGAATAGTAATAATAAAAAGAAAATTAAATATGAGAACCAGAGCATAACGACATATGATGAAAATGATTTTTTTAGTGTTTGTAAATAAAATATGTACATACTATCACGTTATACTTTTTTCAAGATATTTATTTAGTCGGTTTTACTCAACTTATGACGAAAACGAAGAGTGAACTAATGAATGAGTGGTTTTCTCTCTCTTTTAAAATAACACATTTCTAAAATACATCAGTCAATCTCGGAATAATAAATATCACTCAAAGCTTAGGACTCAATAATACGAAACGATCCAGACCAAGTAAGGTGTCAGTGTATAGAAGAGAAGAAATATATTAGTCCCCCTTCCCCCTATGACGTGATCCAAGTATAAAGTAATCTTCTTAACCAAGAGAACAAACAGCATACACAAAACGTAGTCTATGTTCTTAAATGATTAGTAAAAAAATCGTTCTAATTGACCCATATACCTTTGTCGTGAAAATGCACGCTCAAATGAATCAAACAACTTCATCTTGAATGTTCCTTCTAATGCATAAAAATTCATTAATCGAAATCTCATTCTTTGGCCTTGCATGAAAACGATCTTATGTAATGAGATGCTAAAAATAGTAGAGTCTGGCAAATAGGCAACAGTTGGACAATATCTGATCCAGGGGAAAATTTAAAAGCCAGGAATTGAAAATAAGATATCAGTGAAGATCATGTGACCAGGGTGGTAAAATTAGGCTGAGTATGGTTTTATAATAAGTATAACTATATTTTGTGACGTAAATTAGAATTGAATATTTTCAGGTCCTCTCATTTAGTATTATTATTAGAATCCGATTATTCATTAGTTGAGATTTAATCCGAAGTATATTCTTGAGGATTATATTTTGAAACTAGATGGTTACAAACCTCGCCGTAAACAAGGTTCGATATGTATGACAAAAATTATTGTGTTTTACAGAACGAGAGTAACATAGATCTCCCAGTAATAACAAGAAGTAGAACGAGAAACTGCGAATATATTATCCGTACGAGTATTGGGCTATAACCACTTTAATTTTGTAAAAGGTGGGAGGAGGACAAGTAGGTTCTTACGCTATCTCTTCGTTTATTCTCCTGCTGTGAATAATATTCAAATAATCAAAGCCAATGGTCAATATGAATTTGATACTTTTTTAGCATTAGAACCTGTTGAGTTTAGATCTCATCACTTGACTGACGCGGAGGTGTGCCAGCGTAGATTTTGTATCGTATAACCGTATTACTAGGGTTGATATCATGTGATACTCACATGGTATTTAGGCCAGAGTCGTCAAGAAAAAAGCCATGATGTAGCCCAAAGCTCCTGCTAATCTATTGTCCCTCCAGCTGGCCAATTTATTTGTTTGAACATTTAACTATGAGGGTGAGTTGTGACATTTTTGGCCCAACCATTCCTTATGGTACTGGTAAATACCAGCGCCAAACAATTAGCTGGTATTTTTCTTTAATTGAATAATAATAATAATAATAATATTATTATTGTTTTTTTGACCCAAAGGGGATCTCAATTAGATTAAAATACTTTGAACTAGGCATGGGTCGGCTACGAAGTAAAAATCTTGGCCTCATAGTAAGTCGCCAAATGAAGAAATTGGCTTGCCATCTGGTGGTCATATCAGCTACGGGATTTGTCTGTAACTGGCTTGGATGAACCTCAAAAAAAGTCAAAAAAGGTCATGTGATAACAAAAAAACGAGCGGGCACCGAGTTGTCCATCCATGCCTACTTTGGACGAATTCTGTTTAGAGTTGGGAAAATTAGTGGTAAACCGGAAATTGGGTCAATTTTTTTAATCATTATACGAATTCGAATGACAAAGAAACGCTGCTTGAGTGTAGTTCGATCGATCGATAGATACAGCCATCCAAGCAGTTAATTAATTAATGGGATCCCATTTTAGAGATGTAACCTACAACTGGTTTAGTGTGGGTGCGAGAAGGAGGAGATGAAAGAATGAGGGAGGCCTTAAGAGAGAAGATATTTTGACCCAGTCAATTAAAATATAACAAATTACAGTAACTTCCAGTCGAAAATTATACTTTGATAGATACGTGGTAAAAGATACATGGAATGAGTCCGGAAAAACCTTTTTCACCGAGCAAAATTAATAAACACATATAATTTGTCCTAATTTGTCCTAATTATGATGTGTTAAAAATCGAAATACTAAAATATTTTTTCCAGAGGGTAGAGAAAACAAGGCACGATTAATTGTTTGCTATTAGTCGGAAAATTAATCCGAGGAAAGAGAGGAAGCAGAATAGACGTTTCAATAGAATAAAGTATGGTAAGAAGCAAAGTTGGGGAGAGTAGTTGAGTAAAATATACCAATCCCAAATATTCCGATTTTGCATTAAAACAGTTATGAAGCAGTGTACCACCATAGTTTCTGAACCGCACACAGTTATAAACTAATTTAGTTCAAAAGCAAAAAAAGAAGCCAAACAAGCATTCATAAAAGAATGAGGATACCAACGTATCTTGTCGTCCAAGACACATGCAGAGATGCATAAACAGGGAGAGATGGTAATAGATATAATTATTCCGTTAAACACACTAAAAAGTAAAGAGTGAATTCATCTAATTTTCCTGATCATTTTCAGTGTCATATGCCCCCCCTCTCACATTATAAATTTTGACCCAAAGAGCCAACAAAAACTAAAAGGAACCAGCAAGAGATTAGATTAATGGAAGACGACGAGACAAAAACAAAAGAAACTTTTTTTCTTTTTTATTTTTTTATTGGATTGGTTTTTGTGTAACAACAAAACACACAACCAACTGTACTTCGTTTTTTTTTCTTCTTCCTACGAATAGACCTCTGCAGCTTTTGCTTTTTGTGTAATGTAATGGTTTTTCTTTTTGCCTTCTTTGTCTCGTTTCTGCATGTCTTTTTTCACGAGCTGATCTATCAAAACTTATCACTGTCTCTCTTTTTCTTTTTTAAAGTTTTTGTGGTCTCACAGAGAAACCTGACAAAAAGAAATGGGATAGAGAATGTTACAAAAATGGGAAGACGAGAAGCTCAAAATATATTCACACACACACACCAAGAACTTTTTCGATTCGAAGTTAAATATATACAATCTCATCTATACGTAAACTACGAACTACTTTTAGTGCCATCATTAATGACAAGTATTGATTACTACGTAACACACACTTAACAGTGAAAAGAAATTAAATAAAAAATCAAAATAATAATAGAATTGTATGCTTAACCCAATTTTTAGTATTATTATTATTCTTATTATTATTATTGCGTTGATGATACTTTTTGGCTGAGTTTCTTCTCCTTCTTGGCCTATCGTTCTACCTAGATGTACTCTCAAACAAGAAGCTATCGCTGAGGTACATACATACATATACATCTTCAAGCCATATGGGTGGGTGGGTCATTTTTAAAGAAATATATAGTGATTAATTAGTACTCATTTGCCCATATTCAATGTTTTAATTTTTATTCTCTCTCTCTAATCATATCATATATATATAAAGTACTCTTTTGAACGATTCGTGTCGTATATATTTGCTTCTTCATCCTCGTTATATTTTTGCACTTGTATGCGCCATTCCAGACTAGCTATATCTCTTTCTCTATAAGAAGGTAACGATAACAGATATATTATAGGTGGTTAGGAGATTTGTTTGTCTTCCATAGAGTTCTTGGAATCGAGAGTAAATTAACTTAAAATATTCCATACCAAGACAGAAATTAACTTTGATACTGATAATTTGCTTACATTAATACAATAAGACTCGTTAATGTCTGATTATTTCTCTCTAAACCATAACAATGGTAGCTCAACTCTAGCTGAGTCATTGATAACTCCAAGTGTTTATGACAGCATTAATGGCTACGGTCCCTTTGACGAGGAATCGATGCAATCATCTGAATCTCAACTGCTGCTAGATTTATACCATAATGATCCTGCCGCTATCCTAGATTCAAATTATTCATTTAACTTGCATCAAGGTGCTCCACATCTTCAGGGTAAAGACTCAATTTTACCAAGAACAAACAAAAAATCTCCATTTTATACTTCTGTTCCAATTCCTAAACCAGTGAAGTTATCTGCTTCTTTAGATATAGATGATCATGATGGTTATACAGAAAATGATATCTATGATGGTGAAAATAATTTCGTTAAAGAATATCCAACCGTTGTTTTAGCTGATAGATTCTACAAATGGAAAAAGATTTTAAAAGCTTTAATTAATTATTTAAAGGAAATGGCTTATGCTCAAGAAGAATTTGCAAGAATTAATACTCAAATGAAAGATGCAGTAAAATTCAAATTCTTAACAGATTTAGATGAACAAACAAATACATTGGTTGATCCAATGACACATACTAGACCTATGAGAAAACAACAACCTATGACGTTAGCAGAAAAGAAAAAGCAGTCCAATCTATCAAGTTCAAATTTAAATGATAGCTCTAGTTTCAATCCTGCATCTTCTCAATTTACTTTGAACAAAGACTTAAACAATCCATTAGCTGCGTCAGGTTTCATGAATTTTGGTTCAGGATCAATTCAAGACATTCAAATTATCTTGAAAAAATATCACTTGTCATTAGCCAACCAGCAGTATAAAGTTTCAAAAGAAATTGCTAATAACTTAATTCCTCAATTAGAATCTTTAAGGAAAGATTTATCCATGAAAGTTAAAGATATTAAATCATTACATGACAATTTCAAGACGAATATTAATGATCATATTAAAATTACTTCACAACTTTTAAACAAGTATATCACAGCTTGTAGAGTTATGTCAAATCCAAAGTTTTCAGCAAAAGGTATTAAACCAAAACATGACCCATTTTTATTGAAATTACAATTAGATTTACAATTGAAAAGACAAATTGAAGAAGAAAATTATTTGAGAACTGCATTTATTAATTTACAATCAGCGGGTATGAAATTAGAAAAAATTATATATGCTAAAGTTCAACATACATTACAAAGTTATTCTTCATTATTAGGTTCAGAAGCCCAATTAGTCTTAAGAATTTTATGTCAAGAATTATACAAGGGTATATGTTCAAATCCTCCTGCTATTGAATGGGATAAATTTGTAACATGTCATGGCAAATGTTTGATCAATTGGAAATCAAATGATCCTGTACCACCAGAACGTTCCTTTTCAGATATTGAGTACCCAAGGGCCAATTCACCAATGGGTAAATGTATAAAGTCTGGTTATTTGAAGTTTAGAAAGGGAAATTCATCATCAACTGAAGGTTATTTCATTTTAACTGCAAATTATTTACACGAATTTAAAAGTAATAATTTATACAAAAGTGGTTTCTATCCAGAATCGGTACCTAGTTTAAATGAAATTCAGAAAGGTCAAAATGCTAAAGGTAATGCTTCAAAGGGACAAAGCTGTAAAAGTCAACCTGTTAAAGGTCAACCAGGTTACCACAATCCTAAATATACCCAACCTAAGAGAAAGAAAACGTTGTTACCAGTTTTCAGTATTCCATTAGATGAATGTAAAATTATTAAATGTAGCGACTATAAGTTAGTATTAGAAGCTCCTGGAGTTTATAGTAGAGAAGCAACCCCTATTGCTCCGCAAGTGATTCAAAAACACTATTCAGGTAGTCAACTGGCCAAACAAACAGCGGAAAATTTACATTCAATGTCATCTACAACTTTAACGAAAACTGGTCAAGAAGCCCAAAAGATTGTTACTAAATCTCACCATGGTTTGAGCAAATTGTGGAAGGGTTCATCCAGCAGCGAATCTCGTAAGGCAAGTAATTCTTCTTCAACATCATTGCAATCTCAAAGAAACCCTGTCAAGAAAGTTCCTAACGCAAATGAAGTCTTGACGCCAGTTAAATGGACTTTTTATATCGATCAAACGACTGCCACTCCTCAAGATGTTAAATACTTCAAAAAGTGGATTAATGATATCAAATATTTGACTTCATTTACTGATATTCATCAAAGAGCCAATTTTATCGAAGAGAACATGTTAAAGAACTCTCGTCAAACTTCAAATTCAGTGGTTCCATCTAATGAGTTGGCAAGTGGATTTATCTCCAACTTTACGGCAAGTTCACTCTCAATTCCAGAACCACCATCTGCATTTACATTAATAAATGCTAATGCATCAAGGATTACATCACCAATTCTTGATGACAAGGGTAACTTGATAGCTCCAATGAGGTCGTATAGTGCTGGTTCGATACCAGTATTGAATTCAGGTAATACAAGCGCTTCAAATAGTCAGATAAAAATAGAACCACTTACACAAGCCAAGAACATCAATAATGTAACATCCCCTAACATGTCTATGTTATCTCATAAAACCCAAAACTCAGATGAAAGTTCTGGCGGTTACTTTGCATTGCCAGTTAGAAGAGAAGTCAGATCTAACCCGACAACTCCACATCAAGAATCTCAAGGTTCAAGATCTCCCGGTTCAACCTTATCTCAAAAGATCGGTGATATTTCCATATCTTTAGAAGATATAGAAAGGATGAAATTGCCTCAAATGAAACTGAATAATCAAGATTTTATGTTAACCGCACCAAAATTTCAAAGAAGTGTCAGTGCATCGTCAATTCCAACAACCACAGTATTGGACGCAAAGAATACGGCTATTGATAATTTAACTGGTATTGAAATGGCTAACTCAAATGGCATATCTATCAATTCAAACCCAGGCATTAAAATTAATAACGATTTAATTTCTAACAATGAGAATCATGGGTTGATGTACCATAGCGCCAATAATAGTTCTAATAGTTTGAATTTAACTCCAGTTAATTCAAGAGTACAATCTGTGAAAAAGCATAAGAAAACTCGTTCTTTCAGCTCATTGAGTAGTTTGAAGTTTTCTAAGAGAACTGGAGCCACATCAGGAATGTTTTACAATGAACATATGATGAATAATGGTATTGATGAACATGATGATTGTGAATCATTAGAGGAAGCTCCTAAAGTAATTAAATTAAGTCAATCATTGTATACTTAGGTTAAAATTCAGGGTAGACTCAGGGGTGGTTACTACTAAAGACATACTTTTTTAAAAACTAATTATATACAATTTATTTATGAGTTTTTTATATATTAAAATGATATTATAGATAGTTATGACATATTAAATTACAATGTATATTGTAAATGCTAAGGATGGAAGTGTGATTATGAATATTTGGAAAACATGAATTAGATTTAAATAATGTATTAATACATTAAATCATTAAAATATAGGAATATTATTTTTCTCTTTCTGGTTTTAACTTTTGATGAATTAACTGATCTAATTCTTAATCTCATTATGAGGAATCACACCTCCAAGCTTATGGAAATTTCTGTTGTAATACAACACTCCACCAGTGGAATCCTGGTCATTAACTAAAATATCTTCTACATTACCAACCCAAATCTCATGATCACCAACACGGAATACATCTTTCTTCTTGCAAAGCAATACATATTCAGAATTTTTCAAAATTGGAATAACTAAATCTGTACCTCTAATAGATAATGTTTCATAATCTATATCTTCTTTTAATGTAGCAAACGGTTTAGTTGGAACAACGACGTTTGAATGTTTTAAAGTCGTAGCACCTTGACTGAAAGTTTTGGCTAGCTCAATTGATACTGGATTTGGTTTCAACAAATGAACAGCAAACATTGAATACTTATGTAGAAAATCAGAAGTAAATGAAGGTAATTGAATATTAAATTGAATCATTGGCGATGGTTTTAAAGCCAAAGATGAAACTGATGAAGCAGTTAAACCCCTAAATGAAGAATGCGGTAAATTATCATTGCAGGCAGAAGATATAATCATTGCTTGACTAGCCATTTTACCCATTGCATCTTTGAATAATTGTTGCTTAACTAAATGTTTCCCAGAATGTGTAGAAGATGACCATCTTTTCGTTAGTAAACTCATTATTTAGTAGTTTCTGCTAAAATATTTTCTTGATTATAATAAATTGTAAATATATATAAATATGAGAATAATAATAATATCTAACTAACAGAACTTTTTTTTTATCTTGATTTATATTATTACTTGCGATTTCTGTACTTATAATTTTATCTTTTATTTGATCTTACTATTCTTAACTAATATACACAACGCAAATATCAATTTAAATTAGCAAATTTTAATTTTATTCTATCGTCCCCAGAAGTAGCTATTAATTTATATAATTACAAAAACATCGATTAGATAAATTCATTTATATATCTTTACTTTGCTTTGCTTTAATGGTGTCAAAACTTCTTTTAAATTTCAAGATTTTTCATATTTTAGAAGAAAATTGAGGGGCCCATACTAAATTTTTAATATTCGAACCACATATTAAAATTACCATAGATACCTATTAAAGTTAATATTAAGACAATGCAATGCCAGTAACGGAAGAAACTTCCTTCACCATGATATATCAAACATTTGAGAGGGTGGTGATTAAATCAATGTTAGAATGATGTATATATGTCTTGTGAAGTAAGCGTGGTCATTGATTAACCGGAGGTTTTTCTCACTATTCATACTACACTCGTAAATTAAGAAGTAGGGAATTAACAACAGTTGATGCCATTATTTCCAGTTATTAATCACCGAAGTTCTCTATAAATGTTGTAATTTCATTCTTATCGATTTAGTGATATCATCAGTCAATGATACGAGCGGAAATAATACCAAGAGTTGGCGTTATGATTCTTAAGTCTTTTCAGCATCTGTGATTTTATCATAATGATGCTTGAGAGGTACCCTTTTGTTACTAAATGTATAAAACATAATCAAACTTATCATGTAGGATTGCAATAATATCAAGCAAATATTATTAAATACGGGGTACATTCATACTATCTGATTGATATCCCATAGTATTCTTTATAGTACTATTTGAATTGCTTAAAATTCAACAGAGCCTTACAGGTGATAAAGTTCTGATCTTGAATGTTATTATGGTGTAGTCCATATTTCTTAATTATCATTAAAAGTAAATTTGCATCATATTTAATTGTAATAGCACTATCTATATGGTATTGGACTGTTAATGCTTTAAACTAACATTGACCATGATTTATTTTTTGTTTAACCCTCTCTGTTCTTATATTTCGAATCGATTTATTCAAAAAGTTATCTATTAGATCATTATTTAAGATGATTTCGAAAATAATTGATATTTTAAGAACAAATTGTTGAGAGGGGAATTCAACAAAGGACAAACTATTAATCATTAACTGCTATTACCAGGTCCTTTTGGGTGACTTTGAAGATGGTCCTTAATGTTGTGCAAGATGTCAAGAAGAATCCTGATTCTACGAATATCGAAATTTTATTAAAAGAACTAACAATTGATGAATTAGATTTAGAGACCATAATGGTCTTAATCACCGTTGTGGTGCCTGTATATTCTTCTTTACATATCAGGGAGCAACAGAAATTAATGGTGCTTATTTCTAAATCATTTACGTTTTTAGCTCAATTGGTAAGTTTTGGTAATACAATTGATGTGATAAACCCTGAAAGAAATTTATTTGTGAATTTATTAATTGAGTTACTAATAAAGTATCCAAATTGTCTTTACAATTATTCTATTGATGCAATCAATTCAAAGGAAAAGAGAAATTTCATCATTTCAATGCTTTTTGGAAGTAAATTATTCAATTTTATTTCCAAGAAGGTAGATATTGTCGATTACTTAAATATACTATCGACTCAACTTAAATATATTTTAGAAAACGATTCAAATAAATTGATAGAGTCACCTTGTTTTGGACATTATCTAGTTGCATTTTTTTCTTTAAATCCAATTCTAGGATTAGATATTCTAATACAGGATTTATTTTTAAGTGAAGAAACATATTTTGAATTGTTCATCAAGATTGTCAACAACTCTACAAGATTGGATCAAAAGAGAATTGTGGGAAAATTTTTAATATCATATCTTGATTCAAAAACCCACAGTGGTAATTATTTAGAAGTTGCTAAAATTTTAGAAAAATTCAACTTGCATAAAGTAATTGACCTCCAATTACTTCTTAGTTTGAAATCAACGGCATTACAAGAAACAATTATTAAACTATTACCAGTAGTATTAATAATATCGTTCTCAACTGGATTATTAGAAAGATTTGACGCACTAGATGAATCAAATGATGAAAGTATATGCCAACTCTTTACAATTCTTTTAAAAGTAAAATTAGATTCAAACCAGAGGGATAAAATTGCAAATGGCTCTAAATTTTTAAATGCAGTCACAAAACGTTTAGGACACCAAGATAGGTTGATCAGAGAAAGAACAATGTACATTGCAAAACTGGTTTCAAACAATCAATTACAGTATGAAAGTGACTTCATAATCGATATACCTGATCTATCGTTTGATGATGTCCAAAATTCCATTGATTTTACGAAATTGAACTCCAATGTGAATAAAGAGAAAATTGATTTTGAATTAGTACCAAGAACTGCCGATCAGTTCAAACAAATGTCACTTGAATTTGATAGTGATGATGATGATGAAGATGAAATAGATGGCAGAATTAGATTTGTATTCTTAAAGGATATTGTACAAGAGTTTGAAAAAATTGATAAAACAAAGAGGGAAAACCTTGTAGAATTATTACAAATAGTTGTGAAATTAGTAAGGCAAAAGAAAGACTTTGAGATGGAAGTTAATTTTTATGCTCCTTCATTGCTCGCAAATGTTGCATGTTTAAATAACAATTTCGATGAGAAAAAATTCGAAGAATGGAGAATTAACGCAATGGTCAGCATCATAGTTACGTCTCCAGATAATATTAAAGAATTATTCAATCTTTTATTTACAAAGGAATTATCTTTACAACAAAGAATGTCAATTGTATCTAGTATTGGATTGGCTTCAAGAGAATTAAGAGGTTTCGATGATCCATATGTCGCAAAGCCGGAGTATGATTTCCCAACAAGCAAATTACCTTGGCATACGAATTATGAAATGAATGTAATCGAAGATATAACTAAAGATTCACAGCAAATTATCAAAGAGAAAGAAACAACTTGGAGGTCTCAGAAACTAAATAAATCTAAGATTAAACCAAATAGAAATAGGTTTCAAAAATATGCAAGATCATTTTTTTATCCATTAACAAACGGCTGGCTAAATGGTATTGATATGGGAAGTTTTGATGTATTGTTTAAGATTCATTATTTTTCAACAGTCCAAATGGTTTATCATTGTGCATTCCCTGTTTATGACTATGAAAATATGACATATATGTTTAACAATATAGTGGAAGATGCATTAAAGCAGAACTTGCCAATTGAAAAATATCTGATTCTAAATTCACAAAATCCAAAAGAATAATCCCTACTCGTGTATTTTTATGATGCATTTTTTTGTTGATAAAGAATATTTTTAATAAAGAACTTCAAGCGGTAGTATTGTAAAAAGTTCAATCAGGGTCAAATTTCATTTCTTGCATAAAACTTTTAATTGTATCGAGGAGATATTAGAAAGATCTCCATATTTTATAAGTTACAATTCACTAGTTTCATTTAGATAGTAATAATTAATTAAGTATATATCCATAGACGATAATACTATTCACTGTCACGTAATTATACCATTTCTTCGCATCCAAGTTAGTTAATTCCAATATATCCATATCACGTGATAATATGATATAAGCGATATTCTTCTACTTCATCGAAACTTAATTAATTAAACTTGTTACTGTTATGTTTAACTGTTTAAGAAGAGCTAATTGTTAAGAAAAGTTTGTTACTGTTGATCTAATTTGTATGATATTGTGAACAAGTAGGATAGACAGTTATTAGAGAACTCGAAGTGATATGTCTTTCCTTGGTAGTCTTCGCCAGAAGACACCATTTTTCGATAAGATAGCAGAAAGCTTTACCCCTGCTATCAGCAGAGATGAAAAATTTAAGTATGAATATAGATTGCCAGCTGAAGAAAACATTATAGATGATACCAACGCTGATATATCTTTTGTTGGTGCTTATAGTAAGATCATGGCCATGTCCAGATCAAAAACTGAAATTAATCAAAAATCACCAGTCTCTTATGTGTATTCTGGTAGATTATATTTAACACCACATTTTTTGGTATTCAGAGATGCATTTGATCAATATTCTTGTGTACTAGTTATGAATTTATCTACTATAAAGAGAGTTGAAAGAAGTCCCTCTGAATCTCATTCTTTCGCTTTGAATATTACACTTTATTCAGGGTCTAAAATTTCTATCCAATTTATAGGATTACGTTATAGATCCGAACAATTTTCACACCAATTAAAATTAAATTTAAAGAATAATATAGAGACAGCCAAAAATCTTCCACAATTTTTATCGACTTGTTATTCAGAGTTTATTATTACCAAAAATATTCTTCATCAAAAGGATTTAATTCCTCCAAGAGCTGGTTTAGGGCAACAATTTAAATACCCTGGACGTGCTGAATTAGATAAGGAAAAGGCAAAATTGAGATTATGGTTTGAATATTTTAAAGAAAACGGCCAGAACATGGCTATTGTCAAGAATCACATGTTTCAAAAATTAATAAGAGTTGGTCTTCCAAACAGAATTAGAGGTGAAATCTGGGAGCTATGTTCAGGTTCAATATATTTAAGACATGCAAATTCTGGAGAATATCAAAAAATTTTGAGGGATAATGAAGGTAAAACTTCACAAGCTATTGATGAGATTGAAAAGGATTTAAAGAGATCTTTACCAGAATATAGGGCTTATCAAAGTGAAGAAGGTATTGGGCGCTTAAGAAATGTATTAACAGCCTATTCCTGGAAAAATCCAGATGTTGGTTATTGTCAAGCCATGAATATTGTTGTAGCAGGTTTATTAATTTTCATGACTGAAGAACAAGCTTTTTGGTGCTTAACAAAATTATGCGATATTTATGTGCCAGGTTATTATTCGAAAACCATGTATGGTACATTATTGGATCAAAAAGTGTTCGAAGCATTTGTAGAGGATCGTTTACCAATACTATGGAAACATATTGTTCAGAATGATATTCAACTTTCAGTAATATCTTTGCCATGGTTTTTATCCCTTTTCTTTACATCTATGCCATTAGAATATGCATTTAGAATTATGGATATATTTTTCTTGAATGGAGCTAAAACTTTATTTCAAGTAGCATTGGCAGTGTTAAAAGTCAATGCTGACGATTTATCATCTGCAGAAGAGGACGGTACTTTTATTGCTGTATTAAAGAATTACTTTCAAACTCTAGGTGATAGTGCATACCCTGAATCTGATGATACAAATCGTAGGCAGATTACAAAATTCCAAGAATTATTAGTTACCGCATTTAAAGAGTTCAGCATAATCAGTGAAGGTATGATAATACAAGAAAGAAATAAACATCAAAAGGGCATCTTGCAAAATATAGAGACTTTTGTTAAGAGAACCCAGATGCGTCAAATGCCGAAGACATTTAACTTGACAGATGAAGATTTATCAAATATTTATGACATATACTATCAAAGTATCGAGACGCACAAGATAAGTATGGGTACAGGTTCTTCAAGTATGAGTTTTGATGTTTTTATTCAATTGTTAAGCAAATTCTGTGATTGGTGTAAACCTAGTGAAAGTGATGAAAATCCTGCCTTCCGCAAGCAAAAGACAGACTTCTTAAAAAAGTTGTTTAGAAAGTGGGATTCTAATCATTTAGGCGAATTGACTTTAAATGATGTTGTCACTGGTATAGATAACTTGAAATCAACTGATCTTTTACAATTAATTAACTATTTTTTCTCATTGTATGATACTGATAATGACGGAGAATTACATAGAGAAGAAGTCCTTCAAGTATCTGAAGGATTACTTTTCTTGACAGAACCTTGGAAGACTGGTAGATACATTGATTTATTGACCAAACAATCTATAGAAGATGATATTGCGGAAAAACTAGCAAGGGAGAAGTTTAATGAGGAAAACACTACCGATGAGATAGATCTTCCATCTGATGTCCAGGTTGATGAAGAGAAGTGTAAGATAGAACAGTCCGAAAGATATTTGAAAGCTGCAAGTAGCTTTTTGCAAAGATCGTTTGAATATGCCAAATCTTTTGAACTTGCTGAAGAAATTGACTTAATTAATTTTTCAGATGATGAATTAGATGGAGAAGCAAAGAAAAAGAAATTTAATACTTTGAAGGCCAATGTAGCACTAGATCCGACTCGCCCAAAGTTATTAGATTTGGCCACATTTAGAATGATAATATTAGCCGATGAAACATATGAGTTATTTTTTGCAAGCACATGGGGATCTTCAATTCACACTGATCAACCTATTGAGAACGTAATGAAAAATAGACCATTAAGAAGCATGTTTGATGGTATCATAGCTGATGGACGTAGAGTTGCAGAACAAGTTCGTCGTCGTGTGGATTCTGTCACTACAAGAGGCAGTATTACATCAGTCGAAAGTGCAGGTGCTCACACTATTAACAGCGGTTCGGTTTTAACCAGTTCCTATGGTTCAAGTAAGGAAGATAGATTTGATGATCTAGATGACTTCTCGCACGAACATCAAGAAGAGCATGAAGATTTGTTAGGTAGTTCATGGGTTGAAATGGAAATGGAAAATGAAGGTCCAAATTCTCCTGATCGTCACAATTTGAAAACTGTTCCTACAAGAGATTTAGATTCTCAAGGAGATCTGATCGAATTTGAAGCATAAATTAAGAAACACAAATATCATTATTAAATTGTCGTAAAACGAAAAAAAAAAATTAAAGCAAAATAAGGGAAGAGAATAAATAGGAAGAGGAATAGAATTTAACACATTCTTCTATTCTGGTTTAATTTGTTTTTAACAAAAAGTCTCTAGCATAAGTTAAATATTTCTATATAATTATCACTGTCCCTGTGTTGGAAATGGAGTGGCCAAAAGTACCAATTTCTGATCAATAAAAATATAAACTTTATTAAGCTTGCGCTTATATCATCAAATTCTGTTACTTTATGAGGATATGATAAATCTTATAATATAGTCACGTGTCAATAAATTAAATTAAATTACGTAGTACTGAATATTTATTTATTGATAATTAAGAAATTCGAGTTTGAATGAAACTAGTTACTATTATAAGTCGGACTTTAAGTATCAAATTAGAAGATTAATAAGTGGTTCCAAGTCATTTTTATATACCAAATCAGTTCTCTATTAGGAGTTTGAGGAATATACCAATGTTTTACAATAAATGGTTTACCATTGGAGGAGCTTCACCATCCAAGTTACTCTCTTCTAAGAGTTCATTTTTTACCAGAAACAGTACTCAATTGCAGAGGACAGCATTGAAAGGTCAATTCTTTGGTGCTAATTTGAAAATAAAAAATACCTGTATTAATCAAAGAAATGCAATTGCTCAAATAAATAATGTGAGATCTTTTTCAACTACTTCACTGATAAGATCAAGGTTTAATCCTATGTCAGGTGAAAACTCATCCAACCGCTATGTTAGATTGAACAGATTCCAACAGTATCGTCAAAATGATAGAGGCACTAACTCCCTTCGAAATTTAACAATCTTTGGTGCATCTTTAATGGTTGGTATTTATTTTGGTTCTCCCTATTTATTCGAATATGTTCCGCCATTTAATCATTTTAAAAGGAATCCATCTCACTTGGTTTATACAATATTGGGTTTGAATGTAGTTGTTTTTGGTCTCTGGCAATTACCCAAGAATTGGCGTTTCTTACAAAGGTATATGTTGTTAGAAAAATCAAATATTTATAGCAAATGGTCATTGATCGGCAGTGCATTTTCACATCAGGAAGGTTGGCATTTGGCTATGAACATGTTAGCACTATGGTCGTTTGGTACTTCTTTATGTAGCATGTTAGGTGCCTCGAATTTCTTTTCATTATATATGAATAGTGCATTAGGGGCCTCGTTATTTTCCTTGTGGTATCCAAAGATTGCACGTTTAATGATGATGGGTCCAAGTTTAGGTGCAAGTGGTGCTTTATTTGGTATCTTTGGTTGTTTTTCATATCTATTTCCTCAAGCCAAGATTTTACTTTTCGTTTTCCCTATTCCAGGTGGTGCTTGGGTAGCATTTTTAGCTGCTATGGCTTGGAATGCAGCAGGTTGTGCATTAAGATGGGGTACATTTGATTACGCTGCACATTTAGGTGGTTCAATGATTGGTGTTGCATACGGATGGTACATTAGCCAAGTGACAAGAAAAAACAGAGAACGTAGGATGGAAAAAATGTCTAGATGGATTTAAAATAATATATTAAATATATTAAATATGTAAATATGTAATGATTTTATTATTAACATTCATTTCTTTATGCAATGATATAAACAAGATTGTAAATAAATATCTGGTATATTGATTTTTCTTTAACTTAAGTTCCCTCAATTTTTGGGAAGCCACCAAATAAGATTTGTGAAGGTTAATTTCTGTTTTTCATTAGACCTTCCCTAATGACAAAATAATCTTTATCTGAAATTTTTGAGAGGTTAGTTGGCTTCCCAAGAACCTGAAATTTCACCTAATTTACTATCCTTTTCAGTATTTTTTAAAGATAACATAATTTCATTATAAGTCATCGGTTTTGGATTTCTTTGAATTATCCGTGAATACTTGTCGTCTATATCATAATCGCACTCAACTTCATGCAATTTATTAATGAATATTAATTGTGTAGATAACCTATCTTTGATTTTCAGTTTAACCGAATCTTCAATACCTTCATTTGGCAAACCTGATAATTTTAATATTTTCAGAACTGTATCATCAGAAACTTTTGAATCAGTATCAAATTGAGTATACTGTGTAACTGACCAAGTTTCGCTATTTAAATAATTCGATATTTGTTCTTTCGTAATGAAACTTTCACCTATTAAAGATGATGATTGATACCTTACGAAGTTTCTGATTAAACATCGATTCAGTATAGTGAACTTTCTTGCAAGCATTTGATAATTGAATATAGATAGATAGATGAATTGAGTAAGATATTAACACATGGACACTGGAGAGGGGTAGATAATAACGATATGATATGGTCTATGGAGTTGAGTATAATCTATTTGACTCTTTAAATCAGTTATTTTAATAAACATATAAGGTACCAGGTTAGTTGCAATTAGTATTACTATAGTTCATTATATAAATAACTATTAAACCCCGCTCCACGTGACCAGTACTACCAATATCACGTGTACCAATCAATTTTACTACAACATATATTTTTTAGTCTGGAAATCCTTCCAAATCTACCAAAAGAACATATATAAATACATATCTATATCCATCATAGTCACAGTTGTGAATATACAGGTATATAGCCATCAATGGTACAATACAATACCAATTGTCAAGCATAACTGTTCAACAGGATGCCACTACTACCTTTATACTGGAACAAATTCAATTTCGAACTTTTCGAATCTATTCCGATGAGCATTACCCGGATATTCGTGATAATTGAAAAATTTTCAAAATGGCTTTCGAAAGTTCCAATTCGAACTCGAATTAGAAACAGTGATGAGATGAGATGAGATGAGATGAGCAGAGATGTTTTTAGTTTTTTCAATGTTGTTAAAGTAAGAATATTATTGGTAAGTAGAAGTTGTTATTTATTGGTTGTTATATTTATTATTGGTTTATTAATTATGTATTATTGTTGTTGTAATTGCTGAGAAGTTGGAGGACTATATAGATCAAGAATATCAAAATGAGAATTAAGAAGAAGAATACTAGTGGTAACGCAAAGAACTTTGTTACCAGATCTCAGGCTGTTAGAAAGTTGCAAGTTTCTCTAGCTGATTTCAGAAGGTTATGTATCTTTAAAGGTATCTATCCAAGAGAACCTCGTAACAAAAAGAAGGCTAATAAAGGTTCTACTGCACCAACTACATTTTACTATGCAAAAGATATTCAATATCTAATGCATGAACCTGTATTGAATAAATTCAGAGAACATAAAACTTTTGCAAAGAAGTTAACTAGAGCTTTAGGTAGAGGTGAAGTTTCTTCTGCTAAGAAATTGGATGAAAATAGAACTTCTTATAAATTAGATCATATTATCAAAGAACGTTATCCAAGTTTTCCTGATGCTGTTAGAGATATTGATGATGCTTTGAACATGTTGTTCTTATTTGCAAACTTGCCAGCTACTGATCAAGTCTCTTCGAAAATAACTAAAGATGCAAATGAAATTTGTAATCAATGGTTAGCCTATGTAGCAAGAGAACGTTTAGTTCGTAAAGTTTTCGTTTCTATTAAAGGTGTTTACTATCAAGCAAGCATCAGAGGTGAAGATGTTAGGTGGTTAGTTCCTTTCAAATTTCCTGAAAATATCCCAAGCGACATCGATTTTAGAATCATGTTAACATTTTTGGAATTTTACTCTACTTTGTTGCATTTCGTTTTATACAAATTGTACACAGATAGCGATTTGGTATACCCACCAAAGGTTGATATCGCTAAGAATAAGATAATAAGTGGGTTGTCATCTTATATTTTGGAATCTGAAACCGAAGAAAATGTCTTAACAGCAACTAAGTTATCAGAACCTACTGGTGAAACTTCAAACATTGATTCTGAAACTTTGAAATTGGCTATGAAGGCTGATGAAAATGTTGATGATACAAATCCAGAAGATGAACAAACTGAAAATGTCGAAACCGTTGAATTAGATGCTTTCCAAGATAACAACAAAAACAAAGGTGATATCTTGGCTCAACCAAGTCAATATGAATCTCCAGTTTCTACTTTGTTCTCAGATTTCGTATTTTATGTTGGTAGGGAAGTTCCAATTGATATTCTAGAGTTCTTAATTCTATCTTGTGGTGGCTCTGTTATAAGTGAAGCCGCTCTAGATAAATTAGAAACAAAAGACATCGATTTCTCAAAAGTTACACATCAAATTGTTGATAGACCTGTTTTGAAAAATAAAGTTGCAGGTAGAACATATATTCAACCACAATGGATTTTTGACTGTTTGAATAAAGCTAAATTAGTCCCAGCTAACTTGTACTTACCTGGTGAAACTTTACCACCTCACTTGAGTCCATGGGGTGACGCTAGTGGTTATGATCCAAATGTCTCTGATGCTGAAGAAGAAGGTGAAGATGATGAAGATGAGGATTCTGAAGAAGGCTCTGGTGCAGAAGTTGAAGAGAATGTTGATGAAGATGAAGACGATGAAGAATTGAGAGCCCAAAAGGAATTGGAATTAGAAGCTCAAGGTGTAAAATACTCCGATATAAAGGATACTGAAGTCAAGTCAAAGAACAAGAAGAGAAAGGCAGCTTCTACTGAAGCAGAAGAAGAAAAGGACTTGAAGATGATCATGATGAGTAACAAGCAACGTAAGCTGTACAAAAAGATGAAATATTCTAATGCAAAGAAGGAAGAAAAGGTTGAAAACCTAAAGAAGAAGAAGAAGCAAATATCAAAGACAAAGGAAAAATTAACAAAACTAGAAGGCAAGAAATAATTTTGATAGAACTTTCTTTATTTGATAATATATTGTTTAAATTTCCAGCATAGTCATTAAAATCGGTCTGTTTATCTATATAAGTGTAAATTAATACAAATCATTCATATATTTTATTATTGTTATTATTATTATTATAATCATTTTATTATTATTATTTTATTATTTACTTTTTTGTTATTATTAAACTGTGATATTATTTTAGATTAATTAATACTTTTATATAATGTCACCAGAATAGTCTGGTCTGGAATCCATTGATCGCCTGTCTGGAATCACCAATTCGACAAACCCTTGGAGTTCTTTTTGTAAAGCTAATAATGAGCTTTCAGCATGATTAATACGGTCTATATCAGTTATTTTCCCTACATTTACGTATGCTTTTAATAAATATCCACCTTCGGTAACTAAGATATTATCATTATTTGTAATATTCCAAAATTTTTTGAAGGTCAATTATTACTTCATTGGCTAAAAAAAATTTGACACCCACTGAGATATATGGATAATCCTGGAATAAACCCCATGGCTTTAAGAAATGGAAGGTTAAAGGTGAAGATGATTCGTCGGTAGATAATATACTTGATTCAGAAATTGATGAGTAGAACTTTTCTATTAGTCCCAGCAGCAGGAATATCTGAAATGTGTAAAGCCCAAGAAGAATTTTCGACTGTAATACCTTTCAAATCAACTTCCATTTCAGAATCTGCACTCTTGTTAAATTGTAGCATTCTTCTTATAACATCAGGACTAATAGGAAGGCCATCAGATGATAGTTTTTTCAATAATGTGTAATCGAGTTCATCCTCTGAAGGAGTTAAAAGCTCTAAAGGTAGGGCCCTTAATAGTCTAATTCTATTCGGTTCTACTAATTGATTTTTTGAATTAACTCTATCTATATCATAAGAAGGATTTGGATTCCACACAGATGTTATATTAGAGAATAATACGGGTGGGTTACCTGATAACGTATTAACTGCAGTTATAAACAATTCAAAAGAACCATCGTCGATAGAACCGAACAAACTTAATTGCTGAACCATTGTACACTTCTAGATCCTACTATATGATACTTTCCCCTAGTTCAATCTTATCCTGAACATAAATCAAACACTCTTTTTTAATTATGTATCTTATAATTTATCAATTTTATTTAATAAGAAGGTTCGGTTATAAAAATTGATATTAATTTAAAGCTTTTAAATTTAACATTTAAGGTTACTTAATAAGTTATCTTAGAACCAGTTTTATCGTCAACTGTATAGAATACCCAATTGCCTATATACCAGTTTAAGATGCCAGTCGACGTTGCACCAGGAGTTATCAAGAAATTGATGTTTTTCACAGCAGCAATGGTTATTTGTCCATTGTTAACATTTTTTAGTATTAAACAGTTCACTACAAATACTATTGTAAGTGGTGGTTTAGCAGCTCTAGCAGCTAACTTAGTATTGATTGGTTATATAGTGGTTGCATTTATGGAAGATACTACTGATGTAAAGGCAGAAAGCAAGAAAGATTGAAAAGTTATTTTTTATAATTGATTATAAAGGGGAAAAAGGTATTTAAATGGACTAGCTTTGAGTGCTAAGAGTAAAATAAAATATATCATCTCTTATTTTATAGATAGTATAGTTTACTGATTGTGTCTGTGTATTTATTTTATTTTATGTATATCTATTTTTTATATATACTAAGTTTATATGTATATATAATATAATGAAAGTATTAATTTGTCTTCTTCAATGGGTTAGTTGATTTTTCTAAGGCACCATAACTGATTTCTAAACTTGCCAACCAACTAATTGCGATGAATAGAATGCCTAGCAACAATGCAGAAACTAGCAAACACATCAACAATCCTTCTGTCCATATAGTACTTAAAATATCAGAATCTTCCTCCTTATCTTCTTTATTTTTCCCTTTCTTATCTTGTGCTTCAACTTCATCTTTGTCTTCTTCTGAGTTGTCATTCACATATTCTTCTTCTGTTTCGGTTTTATAATCTTCTTTTTCTGCTTCTTCTTCTTCTTCTTCTTCTTTCTTTGAAATGGATTTTTTAGAGTTTACGTTTATCTCTGGGGAAATGATGGCCAAAACTTTAGTTTGAGGCAAGTATTCATCCAAGAAAAAGGTAACTGATTCTAAAAATCCATCCAATTGATCTAAATCATAAACAGCACTTTCAAAGTCTATAGCAATAACAAAATTTTCACGCAATGGGTAAGTATATAAAATTTCAGAAACTGAAGAAGGTAGTTGTTCTAATTTAATAATTTCAGAGTTTGTATAATCTTCGACCTTGAAATCCTTTTCCAATGGCAAAACCTGGTTTAAATCATGTTCAAAATATTTCGTCAAGTACGGATAGTTTTTATTTGATGAGCTATATTGCTTATAAATTGCAAATTTATCAAATTGTAAAATCACTAAAGGACGGTCGATATTACTTTGAGATGCTAATATTTTCATAGAATCAACATTTTTACATTCTTCCCCTGAGATATAAGCAATTGATAAAGATTGACTAGCAACCACCAACATTGATTGTAACATAATCACAAAATGAATTAAAAATGTCCTTAATCCTAACATTTTGCTTTGTTTAATAATTTCTCATCCACTTTCAAACCAAAGTGCCTGTCTTTCTTCTACAATCCACGAATTAGCAGTAATATCAAAAGGATAACACGATATAAGGTCTCTATCCCTCTTAATATCGAGTTCCAATTATCATTTAAGTCAATCGATTTAAAGCAAATTGTTACAAAGGGTTGGTTGTTTAAAGATGAATAATGTTCATTCGGATTTTTGATATTGAACAAAATATTACATGCTGCTTCTGTTAACTATTGCGTATATAATGATTGTTGATGAAAGTGTTATACTTAAATACTTGAATCATTGAACTACAAGAACCTACTAAACAGTACGTTCACACTCCTTGTTTCTATCAAGAGAATTCATTATATTTGGAATATTAGTAGATTTAAGTTATCTAATGGATCTGGTTTGGTTGAAATTGAGTAAGTATAACGTCAGATACATTTTACAAAAAATATAGAATTTTAAATATCTTTAGATTAAAATTATATCTGTACATCGTGTAATAATAAATAGATTGTTTCCAATAGAGACTGATTATTAATTGAATATGTTCAATTGGAATATATTTCCAGTATTTTGATGACTATTATTTATCATCAAATTCAACTTCTCTATGATATTCATCATACAAACAAGATACTGTCGCATAAAATAAATATTGAAAAATTTCAAGATGAGATGAAATGAGATGAGATGAGATTGATTTAAATATAATTTACTTAAATGAATAGTGTTATTATTGACACATAAGGGATAGGCCTGTTGAACTTCCATTATAGCAGCTGTTACTCATTACTTTATTAATTCTGCAATGTCTTTAGAAGCCATTCGTTTTGCCAGATCAGACCCTACTAATGTTCAGGTCTCTGTGCTAGATCAATTACTATTACCATACCTGACTAAATATTTGCCAATATACACTATATCTGATGGTTACGCTGTTATAAAATCTATGCAGGTCAGAGGTGCTCCTGCTATTGCCATTGTTGGTTCTTTGTCTATTTTAATGGAATCTCAAATGATGTTATCTAATTCATTTGATCAAACTCAATGGTTTTACGATTTATTAGACTGGGAAGATACTAGATCTAAATTAACTGGAAGGTTGGACTACTTATTGAGCTCTAGGCCAACTGCTGTGAATCTATCTAATGCATTAAAAGAGATTGCTCAAATTTTAAAAGAAACCAATGATTTGAAGCAATTTAACAGTGAATTGTACAACTACGTTTGTAAATTGATTGATGAAGATTTATCAAACAATATCAAGATGGGTGATAATGGTGCTAAATTTTTATTAGAATCATTATCCAAAGAAGGGTTTAACGAAGAATTTGCAGTTTTGACCATTTGTAACACTGGTTCCTTAGCCACCTCAGGTTATGGTACTGCCTTAGGTGTTATTCGTTCTTTATGGAATGATTCAAAAAGCAAGGATCCAAAGGTAAATACTGACGGCTCTTTGAAACCTTTAGCTTCCGCTGATTCTAAAATGAAACATGTTTTCCCATTGGAAACCAGACCTTATAATCAAGGATCCCGTTTAACTGCATATGAACTAGTCCACGATGAAATTCCAGCCACCTTGATCACTGATAGTTCTGTTACATACAGGATCAAAACGAGCCCTTATCCAATCAAAGCTGCCTTTGTTGGTGCTGATAGAATTGTACGTAATGGTGATACTGCAAACAAGATCGGTACTTTCCAATTGGCTATTATTTGCAAACAGTTTGGTATTAAGTTCTTTGTTGTAGCCCCAAAGACAACCATTGATAATGTGACACCAAATGGTGATGGTATAGTTGTTGAAGAACGTAAACCAAATGAGATGAAATTAGTGACTGGTACTCTAATGAACTACGATGAAGAAACGCCAGCTTTGAATGTATCAAACGAACCTGTAAGCGCTAAAATTGGTATTGCTCCATCTCAAATAAATGTTTGGAATCCAGCCTTCGATATTACTCCACATGAGTTCATCGATGGGATTGTCACTGAAGAAGGGGTATTTACTAAGGATGAATCCGGTAAATTTGACTTAACTTCTTTGTTTTAGTTGACATTGGAAGTAAAATTCGCTAGTACCTTTGGTTATAACTAAAATGAATATTATGTAATAAAGTTTATCATCCAGGTATATAAAAAAAATTAAATATTCACCTAATTTGGGATCAAATTTGGTTTTGAGTTCCAGTGGGTATAATAAATGCACAATTAATAGGGCTCAATAATGGATTATAAATACCTTGAGTAATTCTATTAAATTAAAAGCTGGATGTTAACTATTCAAAATGGACAGTATTACATCCAGTGTTATGAAATAAATATATGCAATATAATGTAAAAAAATATCTATGTTAATTTGTAAATAATTTGTTAAAGCCATTTTCGTTTTGTTCACGGCACCAATGAAGTACTTTTGAGAACAGAGCTCTGTATCTTTGTTCTCTGAATTTAATCATTAATGAATCTAATTTAGTAGATGGAGATGATACTTCTTGAATTAAATCTTTACAGTATCTCTTGAATTGTGGGTCATTTAGTGCATCGATGCCTCCACTATAATGTGTAAAAGTTTCATCCCAGATGATAGATTTTTTTGTTATTCTTCTTGCTATAAACATTGCTATAGCGCTTAATACCGAAGGTTTGACATTTACAAATCTATGGCAACAAATGGCATATTCTAATAAAATCTTTGCAATATTCCTAGTTTCGAAGTCATAATTATCTGCTTTTGAAATTCTTCGTAGAAAGTTCATTGGATTTGGCCAACCGATGTTGAATTGCAAAGATGTCAGCATGTACATTTCGGCACTTTTAATATCTTGGGCAGATGCTGCACCATCTGTAATATATGCATAATCGGATAACTTTGGTAGATTTACCTCTTCAAATTTAGAGGCAATGAAAAGTGAGGTCACTGCCAATAATTGTAATTTACTTAATGTTACTTTATTTTTTGAAAGAAATCTATCCATCAAGTTTATGGCTAGATATAATGTCTCTGGATAACATTGGAACTTTTCATGACCTTCAAGTAACCAGCTTACTAAAATGGCTCTCAT